TGTGTTGGGGGGGCGGTGGGGCCCCTTCCCCTCCTTGGGGCCGGGGTGGCGGGGGGCTCCGGCTGCTCCCCCGCTGGGGGTGGTGGGGGTCTGGGCCCTCTCACCGCCCCTCCTCAGGCCGGGGCGCGGGGGGGCTCCCGTCTTCTCCCCTGGTCCTCGGACCCCCCCGGGCTAGGGCCCAGCCGTGAGGTTTTGGGGGAATTGTTTCCTGCCCCTGAGGTTTTGGGTGCCGCTGTTCCTGGGGCGAGCCGGGTTGGTGGCGTCGAAGCCTTCAAGGTGTGAGGATGCTGGCAAGGCGAGCTTGGTACCTGGCGTGCGTGTTTTGTCTTAGAAGACTTAAAATACTACCTGGAAAAACATCCTTCCAAGCCCTGAAAAAGACTTAGCTACCTAGAAGCTTGGGGAGTTTTAGTGAGGGTTTTTTTCTTTGTCTAATAGAAAGTATTAGTGTTTTCAGAGGGCTTTTCTTTGGTCAAAATGTCCTGAAAATAGAAACGTTTCTGTGAAGCTGAGCTTTAGAAATGTAACAGGGTTTCATCTCCCCTGAAGCCGGACTCTTCCTTGCAAGGACTTGAGTCCGGCTCTGGGTTGGTCTTCCAGAGGCTTGTGTTTAATGCTCGGCGGAGAAGGTGACCGTAGGGAGAAGACACGGCCAGGCGGGACCATTTTCAGCTCTTCCAGGCTTAATGTGATAGGTTTGTACTGGCTGGTGCGTGAGAAACCTCTAAGCAAAACACGAAGTGTTGCATAGAGAGGAAATCAAGTTGGTGTTGACTTAACGCTGCAGCCGGGTGGAAGAGGCTGTTGGGATATACAGTGATTTGGGGGTTGGTTTGGGCTATGGAAAACCAGATGTCCTGGTAGCCTGGACCAGTAGTTAAAGCTCCAGAGTTTGTTTTTGCAAGGCTTGTGATGGTAAAGCTACAGTTGTACCCGTATTGAATTTGGCTAGTTAATCTTAACTAATTTGCCATTTCTAGCTGAAGCCCAGTTGGGGGTTTTCCTCCTGTGGCTGTATGAAACACTTGGTGTCAATCAGCTGCTTTATCTCTTCTCATCGGTGGCTGGATTTCAGCCCTGGCAGGAGAGGTGTTTCCCTCTTGGGAATGTGCTTAAGAAATACCTGGGAAATAAAGTTGCTCCTGTTGGCTGGGCAGGAAGGAGCGAGCTCCAAAACGTTATAGTTGAATACTTTCTATTATAAGAACTCAGCTTTAGTGGTTTCTAAGGTATTCAAGCATGGTCTTCTTAAGTGGCTTTTTGGTGGTTTCTAGCTTTGATTTTTCTGACCTTGTGGGCTGCAATTCTTGTTTCCAGGAGCCTCCCTCAGGGCAAGTGTTTTTGGAAGGCAGTAACAAAAAAAGAACTCCAAACCAACAAAGACATTGAGCAAAATGAGTGAATCTTAAATTGTCGTGATTGTGTAACGTGGTTCTAAGCAACCTCCCTCTTTCTTATTGTTATTCAGCAGCTGCAGCTAAACTTGCCACCAGGCCTATGGAGCCACGAGGGATTGTCAAAGCCTTTCCCAAGAGGAAGAAGGTGAGGGATGACTCAGGGAAAAGCGTCCCTCCAAAGATCCCAAAAGAGGAAGGAACAGAGATACCTGAGGGTAAGTCCTGCATGCCCATGATATGGAACATAACACTTCTACCCCAGCTTGTTAACTGGAGGTGCTGTTCCCCCAAAGACTTTTTCTGGCCCCTGAGTGTGTTTTTTGTAGAGATCACATCCAGCTTGCTTTGGTGTGTCCAGCTGCTGCCCCCCAAAAACTGCCTGCCACTGTTGGTGCCATCAAGTCCTATGTGAGATACGTAGCCCCCTTGGTTTGCAACACTGTTTCTCTTGTCACTGAGCTTTTGTCTCCATGTTTTCCTCAGCAGAGTGGCTGAAACCAGTTACCGCCTACGTGTTGCAAGCTGGCATCGGCCAAGCCAGGGCGGAGATCTTCCACAAGCAGATTGTCCAGAATGGGGGTGTTGTACACAACCAGCTCTCCTCGGAGGTGACATATGTCATTGTGGCTGAAGACATGGACTGTGATCGGGCCTTTCGGCTCCTTAAATTAACCAAGCTACCTTCGGGGTTGCAGCTCGTGAAGGCATCCTGGCTAAGTGCTTGTATTAGAGACCAGAAGCTGCTGAGTACCGCTGGCTACCGCGTCTTTATCCCTCACAGGTATGCAAATGCCACGCTGTTATTCCTCCCCACAGTGGTTCTATCCTAAACTGAGCAGCACTAAAATCTGACCTCTGCTCAAAATCTTGGACTGCAACTCCTTACAGCTCCTGCGGGCATGACTCAAAGTCACTTTTCCCCGTACAGCCTGAGATTTAGTGACTTTGTGACCAGTTGCTATTCTGTGGGGTAGCAAAACATGGAACAGAGCTCAGAAGTGCTAACACAAGTGCTGTCACTTACTACAGGTGCTAAAGGCACCTCTTCCTAATCCATCAGTGATAACAAGGAGATTTCTTTTAAAAATGCTGAGGATTAAATGCTGTTTCTTACTTATTGCAGATGAAAAGTAGAGAGAATTGACCACTAGGCACAAGAGGAAATAAGGAATGGAGCAGCAGGCAGCCACAGGTTAGGATAAAAATATTTTGGCAAAGTTTTGCAGAAGGAGTCTAAGAGTGAGGTAGATAGGAGTGGACGTTGCAGGTCAGCGAGGTGGATGGAAGTGGGGGAACTGAGCCAAAAGCAGAGTAATTCATCTGTGATCCGAGAGAGTGTATTTCATATGGGTTGTTTCCTCCATCCCAAAACATGTGGAAGGATTTCTCAGTCGAACTTCTGGGGGCTGAGAAGTCCTCCTTCTCCTATACTAAGGCATCTGATCCGTGGCAGGTACCTGGAGGAGGGAGAATTGCAGAAAGAGCAGCAGCAGCAGGTCCTGGGCAGTGAAGAGATCCAGCCCCCAGGAGAGGAGGCAGCAGTGAAACCAAATACTGAAGCACAGGTGGAGGATTCCCTGCAGCGAGGCCTGGGCACCCTTGGGCAGCAGCAGCTGGCTGAGGTGAGGCTTCCCGCGCAGGCCCTTCTCCTTGTGAATAGATCCTGCATGCTGCTTTTCCTGGCTAAGAGCATCCCTGCAGGGATACAATGCCAGATTTTCTCAGCAAAGGGAAGGCATTTGGATGTTTCAGTGGGTCAGTACTGGCAGACTCAGGCTGTGGACATGGTTACTGCTTCTCTTTGTCCCTTTTAGGTGTGAAAAGTAGAAACAGCACCCCTTAAATTCCTGTCCCCATCAGAACATTTCTATCTGAAGCAGTCCTTGTGCTCTGATCAGGCCAAGGCTCACTCTGGTGATCATGTTTCCCCTGCGTCCTTTTGAGGAATATTCCCTGGCTGAGAATATCTCCCTTTCAGGAAGCTGTCTCTGATATTTCATCCCGTGTTCCTGCCTGAGCCATACTGACCCATTCTCCATTCCTTGGCAAGCACCCTGTTCAGACACATGTGCAGTGGATCAGGTTGCCACTCGAACGATTGTGGTGGTGTGCTTAAAATATCTGTGTTGGGTTATTAGTGGCCTCTGCTGTGAGTCAGCTTCTCCGACCTGCTGTTAGCTTTCTTTCCTTTCTCTGTATTTTTGCTCAAGTTTGCTGAATTCTTTTTGGGCACTGGCGTCGTTCAGATCTATCTGTAGCAAAGTTACCCCGGACTTTTTAGAGCAGCAGCTGCCTTGTAATGCTGGAATCTGTTTTCTAATACAGTCCCAAATTTTGTTTCACAAAAACCTGAGTTACTCCCTAACTGGCAGCCCACTGAGGGCTCCTTTGTTTTAGGCTTTCTCTTGAATACGTGTAGGGGGGGATCTTTTCTCCCCAGACTTAATATCCAGTGTGCTATAGGCAGAGTTGGCTGCTTCTTAACTGCATCACCTTTGCAGTTACCCTGTCTTTGCTGTTTCTTGTAACTCTAATTTAGTGGCCATTGTTATTAACAAATCTCTCACTTAATGGGAGAAGGAATCTTTTGTGCTGTTATGGATCCTACGGTATCTGCCCTGCTTTTGGCTCATGTTTACTTTGGGTGGTCAGGCAGCTGCTAGAGTCTGAAGCCTTATTGCCTTTTTTTTCTTTTAAATCCCCTCAAGCAATGATATTTCCTGTTAGTCTGTGCACAAAAGCAATATTTGTAGACGCTTCAGGAAAGTCCCTTGTCCCAGGCTTAGGACTATACGAGTTTGGGGAGGAGAGAACGCACAGGATACGCTTTAAAGACAGTAACGACCACTTTTAAGACCTAGCTACAACAGTAAAGCTGAAGCTGAAATCTCAGCTTAGAAGTAGCCTCCATTTAAGCACAGAGTCTCTTCTAGCTTGCGTGGATGTTTTTGCTCTAGGAGATGATGAGTGTGCCAGTGTTTCATGCTGAACAGGGGCTGCTCTGGGAGTTCTGTTTGGATACAGGGTCTGCTCTGGGAGTTCTGTGTTTGGATGTAAACTCCTGTGAGTAAACCCTGTTACAAGTCAGACTGTAGCAAACACTGTGTGACTAGCATCTGGATGCAGTAGTTTTCTGCAAGGCAGCCTTTGCAAGCGGTGCCAGTTATTCACTGGCACCTGTGAATGTTACCCCAGGCTGCTTGCCTCCCTCTCAGGTGGCATGTTGCTTCAGCTGCTATCCTGCCTCCTGTGCTGTGCTCCAGACAAGCCATGCACGTCCCAGTCTCACTTAGCTCTAGCAAGTCAGCTGCTGTAGGATCCTGGAGTACCTTAGAAGCTCACGGGACTAGTTGGTTTTGCACGTATGGTTGTAAAGAGTCCATCAGCTTTGTTGTTGAAGCGTAGAGAGTCAGGGGTTTATGTGCCGTTTCACCTATGTGACACTGCTGGCCGAGGGGATGGGAATTGCACGCTCCAGCTGCAGAGTTGTTTGCATTATGCTTGCACAACATGTTCCTTAAATGCTTTTAAGGGGCTTACTAACCGATCTGAACACTCTGAGGCTTTGCTGCCCTCAGAGGGAACAGTGTGTTAAGGGAGTTACGTTTCAAGGCGAATAAAACTGCTGTAGTCTATCAAATCTTCAGTCTGACCCAGTTTTCAGAGTTATAAAACAAGATTACAAAAGGGAAACACCCTGCCTTTTCTACCTAAAGACTTCAGCTCTGTATCTTGCAGGAATTGTGCCTCCAGACCTCCCTAGCCAGAAGAACTAGAGGGTGTAAGGATACAGCTCTGCCTTAGGCTGATGCTCTGCAGAAAGTCATAACAGGACCTGTGCGCTGCATATAACTGCTGGACTGATCCCAAACAGCCCTGTGGCATTCAGGGTTACTTCCATAGTGGAGGAACTCTTGGATCTTCATGGACTCCTGTGTTTATACATCAGGAGAGAGAGGGATCCCAGTGAGCAAAGCAGTCTACAAAGCCTCTGTGTGGCTTCCCACTTCTATCCCCTTTTGTTCGTTACCTGAAGCCAAGGCTCATTGTTCCTTAAGTCCACACAGAGGCATCCTAATGCTGAGGGTATCAGCAAATGTATACATTGGTTCTTTCTTCTGTCACTGAGGAATGTGGAGTCCTTTGTGTCATTCCTTCCTCCCCCTTTTCTCTTGCAGATAGCCATGGGGAAAATGGGGGGGTTGTAATTTACTACCCTGTTAAGATTTTGTGTCTAACTTGAAAACAGTTCAGTGCCTATCTCCTGTGATCTGCATCACGGGGTGGAAGGTGCAGAGCCTGAACGTGAGGGATGTGTCTGTGCAGCCACCGGACCAGCAAAAGGTTTCCCAGTGGGAGCAGGGAGTCAGGATCTCGCCCAGCCAGGGATTTCAGCATCGTGGTACCATGCTGCTGGCAGCAGTTGCGCACTTAACCAGTGTCTTACCTCAGTTAGGTCTCAGGGTCTTGGCTATAGGAGGTGCGTGTGTGCTTGGATCACAGGCGGACAGCAGTCTCTAGTCTCCTGTGCTTTGTGAGATGTGCACGTAGCTTCAAGGGGTGCCTGTGTAGTAGCTTGAGGCATGAAGAGCTATGGTGTGCATACAGCCGATGGCTTCTAGAGATGGCAGTTTGAGCCCTGCGTGCCCTGGAGGTTGGTTAGTGCTCTGACTTCGTACTCTCAGGAGCAGCTTGTGCCAAGGGGACATATGTGAGGCATGTGCTTACTCTCACATGGTTGCTTTTCTACCTTTCCCTAAAGAAAGTCTCTGATTATGAAGACAGTGAAGGAGAAGATGCTAGTGTCACCCAGGGAGATCTGGAAGCATTGATTTCTGGCCGCTACCCTATGAAATCGTCAGAGGAGACCAGTGACAGCTCTTCCGCATTGGCCCAGCCTGCCAGCAAGTGGGTTTGCGCCCATTCCTCCAACAGCAAGAAGGAGAATCACAACCAGTGCATCACAGAGAAGCTGGAAGTGCTGGCAAAGGCCTATTCTGTCCAGGGGGACAAATGGAGAGCTCTGGGCTACTCGAAAGCCATCAATGCACTCAAGAGCTACCACAAACCAGTCACCTCCTACCAGGTAAAACACCTTCCCAGGGTGGTGGAGCAGGGAGATAGACCCAGCATGCTAGCTCTGTTATGAGCCAGATTCCTTTCTCTTTCTGTGCTTGGAAGAGCTTAGCTTCAGGCCTTGGCAATTCCCTGCTGTGGGAGAGTTTTGGTGGAAGCTGTGTAGCAAGTGCGAGTTGTATTTATTGACCACCTGTGGTGTCTTCAGATGAGCAGAAAAAGGGAGTCTGAGTCTTTTAGGGCCAGATCTGAGCACTCATGAGATAAATGTCTTTTCCAGGTTCAATGCAGGGATATTTTCCCATTCCTCTTAGACATCAGCAACTGCCACCATTGGAGATAATATATAAAACTAACTGGATCTAGGCCTGATTGGCTGTGACAGCCCAACCATTCAGTGTGATAGTGTTTCGGTCCTGTTCTGTTTCTGCTTGGCATTGAATCGATGTAGCCTATGTAAACCTGGCCTAGAGAAGAGAGCAGCAGTCAGAACTAGTCCTGCCACTTATCAGCCACTGATCAAATGGCTAACCAGGCTCTGAGTGGGTAGCAGCTCCCCAGCTTGTCTGTAGCCTTAATTTTTCCAGTAGCAGCTCTGGTTTCTTGCTAGGAGGCCTGTAAAATCCCTGGGATTGGGAAGCGAATGGCAGAGAAGATCCTGGAGATCTTGGAGAGTGGGCACCTGCGCAAGCTGGATCACATCAGTGAGAGTGTGCCTGTGCTGGAGTTGTTTTCCAACATCTGGGGAGCAGGGGTCAAGACAGCTCAGATGTGGTACCAGCAGGTAAGTTTAGTGCCTTACAGAAGAGGTTCTCAGACTAGGGTTTGAAGACTGCTTCTGAGTGCAGGAGAATTACTTTCACAAACAGTTTCAAATTCCAATATCCACAGATGGGATTTAAGTCTGGTGGTACGGGAGGAGTTGTGAGGCTGGGTCCCATTGTGGGTGTGTTTGGGGAGAATGGAGTGCACCTGGCTGAGACTTGAGTTTGGGTGGAGGACTGGCAACAGAGACATGCAGTAGGAGGAGTGGGGGGGACACTGCCTCTTTTGTTAGCATTGCTGCTTGGAGCTCATCTCACACTACTTGCTGCAACGACGCTGCTAAGAGCCAGGCTTGAGCCAGGACATCTTGGCCGTGAAGGCTCCTGATCCAGTTGCTGGCTTGTTGGCCTGGCTGCCTCCTGTAGTTGTCAGAGCAGCCGTCCACCTTGTCTGGCAGTTGTAAAAATGAAGTTAAAGTCATTGTGCCAGCATGAGCAACCCAGGCCACTGGGTGGGTTCCTTCTTTAAAAACAATTTGTTTCCCAAGCACAGAGCTAAGGAAGCCTGGTTTCCTGTAGTGTTTGGTTTGTGACTGGATTCTTTGCTGTCTTAAAAATATGGTTGTCTTTGCACTGTAGGCTTTCCCTCATTGGGATATTCTGGTTGTTGTTCCTTTACCTGCATCGCTTGTTTTCCTTCAAGCTGTAGGAACACAGTCTTAAGAACAGTAACTTTCTGTCAGGTTTAGTTAAGATTCAAAGTCACTGTGGGGTAGAGATCAGAGATGTGTGTGGGTAGTGGGGCTGCCTAAATCCCTTTTAGGAACCAGGCCCTAAATGGTCTCTACATGTGATCTCAAAAGCTGTGACTGGCCTGGACTTGAGACAGGTTAAATACAATCTCCCCAAATCTTGCTTGAAAGTATTTGAAGAGCAAAGTCTTGGTAGATGTTTGAATATCATCACATGGTCTGCACTAGGGTTTCCGGACACTGGATGATATCCGCACCAAGGCGACCCTCACCAGCCAGCAAGCTGTGGGGCTGAAGCACTACACAGATTTCCTGGAGCGCATGCCTCGGGAGGAAGCTGCAGAAATAGAACAAACCGTGAGTAGCTCAGCCTCTGGCCCTCCAAGTGGGATACCTGCTGGGACCTGACAGGAGGGTGCGTGCTGTGGAAATGTCCCTTCCTGCTATAGCAGAGCGCTTCAGCCTCTCCTCTGAGCAGGGTCAGTGCTTGGGGGACCCTTTCTGGGCATGGGCATACAAGACACCTACCTTGCCCCATAGGAAGGTTCAGTTTAAGTGCCTGGCAGGGAGGAGGATGCTTCACAGGTGTCAGTTCTACACACTGCTTTGAAAAAGGCTGCGTGTGGCATGGTTGGATGAGCGATGAGCAGGTTTCCAGCTCCTCTTTCCTGCCTCTCATCTTCTCTGAGATGCCTGCTTTCAGCCGAGGCCCCTGAGCTGTCTCCCTGGTGCTGCTTGTCCAAAGGAAGCTGTGAGCACCCTCTGAGCTGGTTGTCAGTGGGGAGACGGAGTATGGATATCCTTGCTGGAAGCGAAGGGGATTCAGGTGGGATTCAGGTTGCAGATGGGTGCTGCTTGCTCTACTATGCCATGGCACCCCAGGATTATGGAGTGCTAAGCCAGTGTACCCTAATGTGAGTGAGCAGAGAGCTTGGGGGACACACTGTCATTGCTACCCCTGTGCTCTCTGATCACCATGGAAGCAGCAGCCAGCATGACCCTGTCACTCGGCCACAGGGCCTGGCCACGAAGAATACACTCCTGCCAGGCTCCTGCTGGGGTGTCAGTCCCGTGTGCCGGATTAGCCATTTTGGTGGTGAGCGGTCCCTTTCCCAGGCAGGCTGGGTCGAGGAGCTGGCTCTTGGGGGTGGGTTTATTGTTATCTTGATGGGATTACTGTGCTACCCTCCATACACACGCACACACCTCTGATCCAGGCCCAGGAGAGAGAATGAGGGATTAGTCACTGTCTGTGCTGCCTGTCACAGTGAGATCTGAGGAGCTTTTAGGCTCTCGGGTGGGGCTGGGAGTTTTCTAGAAATCTTCATTTAAAACCAGAAGGGGGGCAAGGACACAAGAGGAGGGCTTGCTCCGCATGAGAAAGGCTTGTGGCTTCTTGGAGCACCTCTGGGGCAAAGGTTAATGGGTTTATCTCTTGCTAATGAAGGATGATCCCCAAGAGTGACAAGGGGCTGTGGGCATGGACACTGCCTTCCTGAACCCCAGCCTCTGTGATGGCCTCGTCACTGGGAACTGCTGAGCCCCTAATTATTTGCTGCCAGCAGGATGATTGGCACAATCAGACCAAGGATACTTTACTCCTCTCCAAGGACCTAGAAGCCTTTTTTAAGCGTTTAATGAATGAAGCCATCAGAATTAGCACTGTCTGCACAAAACAGGAGCTGGGGTCCAGTCTGGAGGTGGCTGCATTAGGGGAAGTTCTGATTATATGTTTCTGCTTGCTGGCAGCAGCATGTTGGCATCCGTTCGGTCTGAAATGCTGGGACATTTGTAGTTTTTCTGGGTCACGAAGCCCAGCTCTCCTGCAAAGGCAGAGCTCCTGTCAGGAGTGGACTCCAAGGGACACTTGCAGATTTTCTGTTGTCTTGGGTCCTGCTGGGGAAACTCTTCGTGAGCTCGTCTCTGCTTCTGAAACAGGACCTGTGACCATCTTGTGTTGAACTGACTTTCTTTGTGGGCAGAGCTGGTGAGCTTTGCCCTCCTGGCCCACAGGAGAGCTGAAAAGCCTCTTCTCTCCTGCTGTCTCAGAAACCGAAGGCCCTGAAAGGCGGCACTTTGCCTCCTCAGCATTGCTATGTCTTCCTGCTTCTCCCAACCCAGCTCCAGCCCAGTGCCCCCAAGAGCTGATGACTGACAGTAGCGCCACGGTAGATCATTGTATTGTGTGGCAGTGTGCTGGGCATTTGCAGGACTGGATGGAGGCCACCACGGCTCACATGGCTCCTCATAGCAGGCCAGCCTCCTTGGTGGGGCAATTTGCCATGCCTGCCAAATGTCTGCTCTGTGTGGAGATGCAGAACAGGCCACGAGGCAGGCACAAGATCCTTTGCTGCCTTGATGGAAAGGGCATGAAGAGACTGGTGTCTAACTCCTCATCCCTCTTTCTCTTCTTGGAGGTCAGAGAAGCTGCCCTGGCCCTGAAGCCAGGGCTCGTGTGTGTGGCATGTGGCTCCTACCGTCGGGGGAAGCCCACCTGTGGAGATGTGGATGTGCTGGTCACTCACCCAGATGGGCAGTCTCACCGTGGGGTGTTCAGCAAGCTGCTTGACAGCCTCCACAGGAGCGGTAAGAGGGCTGGGGACTGGCACACAGTGCTCAAAGCTGTTCTTAGCATGGCCAAACTGAGGAGGCAATGAGGTGAATGGCATTCACTGAAGGGCAGGTGATTGCTTTTCCCAAGGACAGGACATCTTGTAAGTCCTTGGAGTACTGCCCCTGGTCCTGGCCCTGCTCCAGTGGCAGCTCTGCAGCCGGTGTTAAGGGGGGAGTATTGCTGCAGTTCAGCATGGCTTCTCCTGTCTGCGTGAGGCTGTCAGGGTTGAGGCTGGATTGCCCTTGGGGTCCCACAGCACGTTATGAGATGCCTCAGCTGCTGTCTGGACAGTGGGAAGTTTGGAATGGGGCTGTCAGTCTCTGCCATTCAGCCCGTCTCTGCCTGTTCCTTCTCTCCAGGCTTCCTTACAGATGACCTGGTGAGTCAGGAGGACAATGGTGAGCAGAAGAAGTACCTGGGGGTGTGCCGCCTCCCTGGGCCAGCCCGGCGTCATCGCCGGCTTGACATCATCGTCGTGCCTTACAGTGAGTTTGCCTGCGCCCTGCTCTACTTCACCGGCTCAGCTCACTTCAACCGTTCCATGCGGGCCCTGGCCAAGACGAAGGGCATGAGCCTCTCAGAGCACGCCCTCAGCTCGGCTGTGGTGCGAGGCCCTGGAGGTGTCAAGGTGTTATCTGGCCATACTTTGCCCACTCCCACAGAGAAAGATGTCTTCATTCAGCTGGGGCTGCCTTACCGGGAGCCCTCAGAACGGGACTGGTGACACCCAGTTGTCACCCAGCACCCTGGGCCCGCTGCCGTGCTGCTGTTTTGAAGGGTGCTGGTTTCCCCAGTGCCACTCTGTGGTTACTGCAGATTGGGGAACATATCCCAGCAAACTGGGGCTCCTCGCAAGCACAGGGCCCTGCTGCTGGCAGAGCTGTATGGCTTCAGCCAGCAGAGGCCATGGGCTGGAACCATGCTGGAAGCGCTGCCTGAGACAACAGGCAGCCCCTGGCTACCTAAAGGGCTTGCTGCCTCTCAGCTGCCCTGGCCCTGCCCTCCCTGGGAAGCTTCAGAAGGCTGGGCTGCAGAGCCTTGTGATCCAGCCCCTCCCAGTGCTTGGGAATGGGGGAAGTGGGATGCATCTTCCTCTGTGTCTGTGCACAGACACCCCAAAATCTCTGGCCTGAGCTGTGTATGAAGGCAGCCAGGGTCTGTCTTGGCCCTGGAACAGGCTTTCCCCCTTCTCACTACTGCTGACACTTGCTACTGTGGGAATCGTGAAGGGTCCCCCTGTGCTGCTGCTGTGTCCTCCCTCCATCTGAGCTGACTTGTGTCCTCTGGTGGGTCTCGCTGCATGGGGCCGGAATGCTACAACTGCCACCAGCTTCCCCTGGTGCCAGGTAGGCCTTGAAGGAGGTGCAGGGACACGATGTGCTGTGCCTGCTTGCTCTCAGCCCGTCGTGTGCTGAGGATGCTCCAGCGCAGAGCTGTGATTCTCCCCTGGTGCAGCCCCGAGGGCTGCTTTCCTCTCAGTGCAGGAGAGGGGCGGACCTCACGGCTCAGGGGAGCTGTGCTCAGGAAGGGTTTGAATGTAACGGCACTGAATGTAACCCAGCAGGGCTGTGTGTTTGTGCAAAGGAGGTGCAGAGGCAGAGAGAAGCACGAGGAGATAGTTTAGTTCTAATTTGGGCGAAGCAAAGCTTTCCCTATGTATGTGTGGAAGCCATGGAGTCATCTGGTCTTTGGTCATAGAGTGTGTGTGTGTATTTGAGTATACGTGTACGTGTGTGCTGGCCCCGACAGTTCCGTGGAGTGAATTTTATTTCTCGGGAAACCTCAACTATTTTTATATTCTGGAGATGAATGTCCCAGAGACTTGCAGTGCTCTGTCTTCGTTATGGGTATTGCAGTGGTTCCTCCTGGCAGAGGTGCCGCTCCGCGGCATCGGCTGCCAGGAACGCCATGGTGGGTGTTTCTGTGCCAGGACCCCAGGGCTCCCTCTGGGCAGTCTCTGGGCCTGGCCTCCTGCTCCCTCATCTTGGGGGGCACCCGGCCACCCCAGCTCTGCACTCTGCTGTGTCTTTGTCACGTGTGGTGACAAGCTGCGTGTTTGCTGCCAGGGCAGGCACAAAGGCATTAAACCTGGCGGGTTTGCACAGTTTCTTGCTGCGGTGTCAGCCGTGGTTGCGGGGCACCAGTAGCGGGGCCAGGGTGTTTGCTGGGGAGGCCTTAACCCCGGCAATGTCATGTGTCAGCCCAGCCTTTCTGCTGAACACCTGATGGAAATGGATGTCTTCTGGCACGTCTTGGTGCTTTGGAATGTGAAGTAAAATAAATCCCTTCTCTCTTTTTCCTTTGCATCTCTGTCTTTTTGCTCTCTGCCCTGCAACTGTTGGGACTCTTCCCTCTGGCTGACCAGGAGCCCCTCCTGTGCTGGCCTGTCTCCTTGTTTTCAGTACAGGCAGGGAGAAGGCAGCGGAGACCTTCACGCTGTCGGATCCCCACTTCTGGCTCTCAGGACAGGGAGTTGCTGGCCACCATCCTCCCATGGTAGAGTGGGACCTGGCTGTGTCCCGGCGTCCAGCTGGCCACGTGGCTGAGCTGGGACTGGCCGTGCCCAGAGAAAGGAGCAATTCCCGAGCTCTGAGCCTTGGGCTGAGCTCTTTATGTGTGGAGTCAGGAAGGGATTGCTGTCAGCTTTTCCATATTTCATCAAAGAGTAGGGTATATGGGAGCTGGCTGCTGCTCTGTTTCCTGTTTTGTGCCTGGAACACAGCTCGGTCTCCTGAGTATGGAAATGCTTTGGTGTTCCAAGGGGAATCTGAACAGCCTGGAAGCCAAGGGAGCACATGGAGATGAGCAGCAAGAAACATTGGCTCAAAAGGGAGATGGAGAAGCTGGAGAGGGCCAGGGGCTGCTGGGGTGGGCAGAGGCTGGGGCAGAGCCAGTGAGGGCTGGGCTGGGTTCTCCAGGGCCAAAGGGGAGTCAGCCCCAGCCCAGGGCCTGGGAGAGCCCGGGGCAGCACTCTCTCCGCAGGAGGGCTCTGCAGCCCTGGCACCAGCCCCAGAGAGGAGGGAGTCCCCATCCCTGGGGTCATCTAGGCTTGGCTGGGCAGGGCCACAGCTGGCCTCATCCAGGGCTGGGGATAGTCCTGCCCCAAAGGGAGGCTGGATGGGGGCTCCCTCTCCCTGCAGTGCTTCTGGGATGTTCCTGGAGGATTTTTCCTAGAGCCTTATGGCTGGCAGCCCTGGGTCGGGGCAGGGAGCGGAGTATGGGGCTGCTCCCCTTGGCGAACACAGCTCTGGATGCTGGGGTGAGCTGTTCCTGGGGGGCTGGGGCTGCCCCTCTCACCAGGGCCATGTGCTGGGGACATCACTGGAGGTGGGGGAGATGGGGCACTGCTGGCCCCCAGCTCCTTCCCCTTTGTCACCCCCCTCTCCGGGGACAGAATTCACACCCTGGGGCCAAACGGGTGCTGCAGCAGCGCATCCAAGCCCTAGCCCTGCCGTTTGTGCTGCTTTTACTTGGAGGGAGGCCAGACAGGGGTTTGCGGGGTCAGGGCTGCTCAGGAACGGGACTGTTCGCCCAGTCCCTTGGGAAATGGCATGAGGGTGGCCCTAGTGCATACATGTCATGTGGAGAGAAGTCCTGCCAGCCCCCTGCTCTGTGAGGGAAGGGGCCTGGTGTCTGTCTGTCCCCTCCCACCCCACAAATGCCTGCCCAGGAGCTTTGGAGGGGGCAGAGGGCCCTCCTGTGGCCAGCTGCAGCCAGGTGGGCCAAGGATGGATGGGGGTCATCTCCCCTGGGTGCAGCTGCAGCAGATGCAAAGGGGCAGCAGGTGAAGGAGCATGACTAGGCTTGGCCAGAGCAGCTGGGGCTGACATTTCTGGATGCTGAAGGCTCCTGCTTTTCCCTCGTCCTGGTACAAGGGGAGGAACACGAGGAGCTGGACCGTACTGCCCGCTGTGAGTCAGCCCTGGGCTGGGCAGTTCCCCTCTGCCCCGGATGGAGGGGACAGAGCCACCCCACACACTCTCCTCCTTGTGCCCCTAATCCTGCCCTCCATCCTCCCAGTTACTTGCAGACCCCAAGCCAGGAGCTAATTCCAGCCCGGCATCCCCTGGGGCCATGTGCTTCTCCGAGATCCCTCTTTAGCCTTTGCCGCAGGGCAGGACGTGGCCACCCCCTTACCCCAGCACAGCTTCTGCCTCTTCTAAACCCCGGGGTGCCACACTTGTGAAGAAAGTGGAAGGGATGGAGCTCCTGGGGTGCCCGGGAGGAGGTGGGTGCTGAGCCCCCAGGATGGGTGCAGGCAGGTTGAGCAAAGACGATTTTGGGCATCTCTAATGAGGTGTTGCCTGGTTCCTGCTTCCCAGAAAGGGGCTTCAGCTATTCCCCCTCCCCAATGCACCCCCTTCCTGCCCTCCCTGGCTGTGAGTCTGATCATCCTGAAAATTAAAAATAAACCCAAACACAGCAGCACTTAGAGACCGACTTGAAAGTCGGGGAGCTGGGACAGACGCTCAGCTCCTGCTGCAGAGGTCCTCGCTCCCACCCCCCGGCCCCCAAGGTGGGTCCAGACTGGGGGATCTGGCAATTCCTGTCCCCCCCATCAAAGGTCTCTCTGCCCCTGGGGTAAAAGGAAGAAAAAGCCTGGGCCAAGTTGCTGCAGCTCTGAGCGTTAGGCAGCTCTTCCTACCCTGCGGGGAGGACACCCATCCTTAGCCATCACGCTTGTCCTTGTGCCGGGGTGGGAGGGCGCCGGGGTTTGGGGAAAAGGGGTGCAGAGGGGGGTGGTTTGGCTTCTAATGCTGGTGCTTCGTATTCATGAGTAAATATTTGCTAATGGTAGCACGGCCTGGTGAATGTAAGGGAGCTGCTCCCCCCGCCGGAGCAGGCAGGGAAATGAATATGAATTTATCATGATTAGGTGAACCCAGCAGGGAGAGCGGGAGAGAGAGGGCTAGGCAGGGAGGGGGTGGGCGAAGATGGATCTGTGCAATAAAATTAAATAAGGACACCAAATAGAGTCACTTCTCACGCGCCCGCCCGCCCTCCCGCGTGCAGGGCCTCTTCCGCCTCCTGCGCTCCTCTGGCTTTGCTGATTTCTCTCTTTCCTCAAATTTATGAGGCCAATTATGAAGATGAGGTTGGAAGTTCTCGAAGTTCACTAAATGCAAAGTGCGGTCCCTGCTGTTCCCATCAAATTAATTAACCAAGCGCTATTGATGGCCAGGGCGATGTCAGCACGGCGTGGAGCGTGAGGGAAGGGCTGCTGGGGTGCAAGCGGGGGGGTCTGGCAGGGGGGCAGAGCTCCCTGCAGGGCATCCCCAGGGCCGGGGGATGCGGAGTGAGAGCCCTGCCTGCGCAGCCGGTGGGCAGCAGGAGCGAGGGACGCAGCAGGGGATGCACCAGGTCCTGGCATCGACACTCAGCGTTGCAGTCTCTGTTTCCAGCACCCATGGTCTCTGGCTGGAGGAAGATCCACCCGGGTGACGGCACGGCTGCCCTGATGGGAACGTGGCGTGGGTACGTGGCAGGATGCCGTGCTGTGTCCTGTGGTGGAGGCCACGGCAGGGGCTGGCGGTCAGCATGAGCCTGTGCCTGGAGGAGCAAAGCCTGGAGCTGGTGCCCTCTTGGGCACCCCAGGATCGTCCCCCCCAGCCGGGCAGGGGGATGCTGACCATGATATCCCATGGGAGTTGTCTCATGCTTGGTAGGCAAGTGACTTTCCCTATGGCTTAGCAGGGATGGTGCAGCCAGGACAGGCCTGTGCCTGACACTGCCACCTTCCCCTCCCTGACTCCCAGCAGCCCTCTCTGCCTCAGTTTCCCTACCTGCGCTATGGGAAACAACCTGCCTGTGAC